AGTACTGCTTTTTTTAAAAAAAAAAAAATCCACTAGATGTGTTGTGCTTTTTTTTTTTTTCTTTAATAATTGTATATTAGATTGAAACAGCGTTACATCCTGAGCGCTGACCCAGCTCTGCTGGGAGTGGGGGACAGAAAGACACTGTTTACACTTCAATACACTGTGCTAATTTGAAATAACTAAAAACCTGTTCAATGCTTTACCAGCCTTCAAAGTTGCCACAGCTTCCATAAATCAAACAATTAATAGATTCATTTTGTGCAATATAAAGAGCAAAGCTGCCTATGACTACAACCTTGGTTTCTGTGCAAAACGAGCATTTCTTTTAAAAAAATAAACAAGGCAACGTAACAACTTTACATAAATGGGCACATATCTTTCCAGCAAGCCTTTTGAAAGCGGATCCTAGGTTTTACTGCACCCATAAGCAAACTGTGGAAAGGAAGCAGATGTTAAGAAAACTGCAATTATAAATAGTCAGAGCTGATTCTCAATCTGTTATCTGCACAGCGGACAGCCGCCCCGGCTCACGGACGGACACACGGACAGCCGCCCCGGCTCCCGGCCCCACAGACGGACACACGGACAGCCGCCCCGGCTCCCGGCCCCACGGACAGACAGACACCCCAGCTCCCAGACCCACGGATGGACAGAGGGACAGCCACCCCGGCTCCCGGCCCCACGGACGGACACACGGACACACGGACAGCCGCCCCGGCTCCAACCCCCCCGGCCCCCGCGGTTCGTACCTTCCCGGCACCTGGGAGGGGAGCGCGGAGGGTAACAAAGAGCCGGCGGCTGCGGGTACCTGCTCCAGGAACAGATCGGCTGCGGCAGGAAGAGAATCCGGCGGGGTCAGGCGAGCCATAGAGCTCGGCGTGTGGAGCCGGGCCTGCAGAGCCCCCTAGCCGCCCCGGCTCCCGGCCCCACGGACGGACACACGGACACACGGACAGCCGCCCCGGCTCACGGACGGACACACGGACAGCCGCCCCGGCTCCCGGCCCCACAGACGGACACACGGACAGCCGCCCCGGCTCCCGGCCCCACGGACAGACAGACACCCCAGCTCCCAGACCCACGGATGGACAGAGGGACAGCCACCCCGGCTCCCGGCCCCACGGACGGACAGACGGACAGCTGCCCCGGCTCCCGGACCCACAGATGGACAGACGGACAGCCACCCCGGCTCTGGGATCCACAGACAGATGGACAGCCGCCCCGGCTCCTGGACCCACGGATAGACAGACAGACAGCTGCCCCAGCTCTGGGATCCATGGACAGAGAGACAGACAGCCTCCCTGGCTCCAGGATCCACAGACAGACAGATGGACAGCCACCCCTGTGCTAGGACCCATGGACAGACAGACAGCCACAGAGACGGACAGTTGCCCCGGTGCTGGGACTCACAGCCAGCCGGACAGCCAGCCACCCTGGCTCCCAGACCCACGGATGGACAGCTGGACAGAGAGGCGGACAGCCACCCCAGCTCCTGGACCCACAGACAGACAGAAAGACAGACAGCTACCCCGGCTCCAGGACCCACAGACAGACAGAAAGACAGACAGCTACCCCAGCTCCTGGACCCACGGACGGACAGCCCTCCCCCCGGCTCTAGGACCTACAGACCGACAGGAGCCCTGTCTCCCAAACCCACGGACAGATGGATGGACAGACAGCAACCCTGGCTCTGGGACCCACGGATGGATGGATGGACGGACAGAGAGACAGACAGACAGCCGCCCCGGCTCTGGGACCAGCAGAGGGACAGATGGATGGACAAACAGCCGCCCATCCCTGGAACCCCCGCAATGCTCTCGGCGGTGAGACAGGGTTCAAGTGCAGGCAGAGGCAGAGCCCAACTGGGCAGACACTGCGAGGAGCGTCCTTGAGGGCACCTCAGCCACACTCAAGACTTCAAAAGATCCTTTTTAATCACTATTCTACTCGAAGGGTAATTAAATAGATACTATTTTTACAGGGAAATCCCAAACAATCTCCTGTACGCGTAAAAAGACAAAGGCGGGCATTTTGCCGTTTCTTGTGTCCCCTTATCCTCCTGTCCAAGAAACGTGGTTTATTTTGCATCTCACTCACTCACACATCTTCAATTTATAAGTTTCAGGGAAGAAGATTTGGGCACGTGCTGCTGCCGTTTCAACCGTGCATTTTTACAGTTCTGGATGATTCACCAGAAATCCCAGGGAGCAGTTCAGCAGGTAAGTGCATCGCCCCTCTCCACCCCCAGGTTTTTCTGACATTCCTGAGTTTTCTCAATATTCCCAGGCCAATTCCAACCAAAGCCCCTGCCAACGCTGTGGTCTCCGTGCCCACAGACACACACAGACAGAGCTCACACTGTCACCATCCTCAGTGGGGCCAAGTACATGAGTCTGTCAAACCTCACACTGTCACCATCCTCAGTGGGGCCAAGTAGATGAGTCTGTCAAACACAGAAACTTACAGCCTGCCCCACTTTTTTTAGATGATTGGCAGTTTTAATCCACAACTACAAAAACCAGAGGGGTATCCCAGCCCTTCTCCCACCCACCCACCACCACGGATTTGAGAAGGATGTGGCTCCACACGTGAAAGATTCATCTTACAACCATTCCTGAGTTTTCTCAATATTCCCAGGCCAATTCCAACCAAAGCCCCTGCCAACGCTGTGGTCTCCGTGCCCACAGACACACACAGACAGAGCTCACACTGTCACCATCCTCAGTGGGGCCAAGTACATGAGTCTGTCAAACACAGAAACTTACAGCCTGCCCCACTTTTTCTGGATGATTGGTGATTTTAATCCACAACTACAAAAACCAGAGGGGTATCCCAGCCCTTCTCCCACCCACCCACAACCACGGATTTGAGGACACAGCTCCACATGGGAAGGATTCATCTTATAAGAGATTTTGCAAAGACACAGAGCCTGATGTGCTGATCTGCAGCCTCCTTGATGTGTGGGCTTTGCTAATTAAGAAACACCCAGAGACACAAAACACATACCAAACAAACTAACCAAGGCATCCACAATAAAGGCTTTCTTAGAAAAACAAAGAACTTCTCCCCTCAAAACCTCCCCCCTGGCTTCACGCTGAACTCTCCTGCTGCTGCTTAAGACGCTACAAGCCTGATGTGCTGATCTGCAGCCTCCTTGATGTGTGGGCTTTGCTAATTAAGAAACACTCAGAGACACAAAACACATACCAAACAAACTAACCAAGGCATCCACAATAAAGGCTTTCTTAGAAAAACAAAGAACTTCTCCCCTCAAAACCTCCCCCCTGGCTTCACGCTGAACTCTCCTGCTGCTGGTTAAGATGCTACAAAAAACCCTCGATGCTGGGATTTTGGTTGCACTAAATCTGTGAGCTGAAATAAAGATAATTCCTATTCTTCACAGTGTAAGACAGAAAAACTAAACTGAAGTTACACGGAGGTAAAAATCACCCAAATCAGAGCAGGGTCCATAGCATAACGACACGTGTTCCTGCTGTGACACTCAGCAAGTAATTACTCCAAACCAAATACTTCAGCTCAGTCACATATTTTAGCACCTCACAAGAAAGACAGCATTTCCCAGATTACAAACGTATACTTTTGGCCAAAGCTTTCAAAAGTATAGCCATGTAGAAGATTATGTTCTGCCAAGCACACGATCCCCTAAATTCCATTTAACTCAGAAGCTGAGGAGCTCATTAGGAGAAGACAATCACCACGTCTTCTGAGAGAAAGCCAGTCCAGACAATACAATTAAGCAGCAACGAGGGTAAGGGCCTGGGGTGAAGGACCAGTCCTGCAACCTCGGAAAGATGCTTCTACTCAATGTCTCCCCCAAGAGGATAATTAACCATGTTAGTAATTGCTTGCTACTAGTTATGTTACTAATAGGAGGAAAAAAAAACCAACACCCAACCCTCCGGATATTAATCTTTAAAGAAAGTGAAACATACATAAAACCTAAGTCATCTGCTTTTCATCATAATCTGTCCCCAAATAAGAAGCCAACAAGATGGCTCTGCACGCAAACCGGGAAAATTTACATGTGTAGCACCTTCTGGTTGTTGATAAACACAGCAGGGACCACCAGCCCTCCCTCACAGAAGGCTTTATCCGTTAATAGGCCCACACTGGTGAATCATCCCAGCCACCATTAGGTACCGCAAGCCTTTTCCCTTCTCCTAAGAGTTCGGTGCCAACAGCAACAATTGGTGGTGAAAACTGGAATATGTATGTTCAGTTCTCTCTATTTCAGCGTTTCTGCCCTTAAAGAGAGAACAGCAATCGTGTTCTCCTTTATTCCTCAAAGTACTTTCCTACCTCAGGCTTCCTTTTCACCATCTCTTCCACCATCCTGTACAGTTCTATGATTTTCAGCTCTCCTGTTCTTATAAAAACTGGTATTTCTCTCTTTCAGGTGGCTACAATTCCTGTCCCATTTGTAGCTGTTGCCCTGGCTGGCTTCTATTTTTTCTTTTCCTATGAAGAAGTGGTTCTTAAATAGGCAGCTTAGTTGGATGTTGCACCTTCTTTGCAGGTATTATTAGAAGTATCCGAGGCTCTTCAGAATGAAATGCCTGAATGCTTGTAAAAATAGGCAGAGAACCCACTAGTCCTGTGTGGTCAGAGCTCCACTTCTCAGAGCACTTGAGCACCACCCAGTTAAACCAGCAAACAAGACCATCTTCACCAAACACCTTCGAAGACACGAGCAATCGCAGTGAGAGGGTGTTAATTCCTCTACCTGCAAATACGTGATGGAGGTGAAGCTTGCCCTACACAACCATCCTCCCCCAATGAAACTTCCTTTAAACTTACTTAACCAATCAATTTGGTAAGTTTCTAGATAGCAGAAATTTTGCCAAAATCCACAAAAAGGTGTAATTTTTCACCTCCAGAGCGTCAGAGCTGAAGGCAAAGAGTTTGGCAATAGAGGTCACCTCCTCTGGACCAGGAGGTGGGCACCAAGCCACAGCCTGCTCAAAGCATCGCTCTCCCTTCTCCTGGTATGGTCCAAGAGCAGCTCCTGAAAGCAGATTTAAATCTCTTTCAAACTCTGCTGCCGTCTGGCTTTTGCTTCAGCTTGGCATGAGCTTCTAGAAATAAAGGGACTGCTCCTGGGATCAGCAACATGCAAAGATTAGTTTATGGAGCCTCACACCTACAGCACCACGAAACACTCTGCTGGATCTTTCCAATAACAGTTGATTTTATCCTCAAGTCATTTTACCAGACTGACTCTTCCTCAGTCTCTTTTTTTACATTTCCACTGGACAACTAATTAAAACTCCCACCCTTGCAGGTGTGCTCTGCCCATCTCCCTCTTTGCCCCTGAGGAAACACCATTTTTTTTTCTACTGAAAGGCAGAACACAGGCCAAGATGATAGACACCAAGAGTACACCATCCTGCTAACGTGCCCTTGATGGAATACTCTCTGCTGGAAAAGCCTTATTTTGAAGAGTTCAGATGATTGCAGAGAGTAAGTGTTATGAGCAAAAGCAGGAGTGAGGTACCAGAGCCCTGCCTTTATGCTGTTACAATGCTCCTAAAACAGACAATGGAAATCATCTGAACAGAGACAGTCACTGACAGAAAACCTTGAGAAAAATTCTCTAGATAAAGCTTGCTACAAGGCTTGTTTAGGGAAAGGTCAACGTTAATTGGCATGTCTGGAAGGAAGGATGGGATCCCACAGTCATTAAATGAGAGAAAAGTTGAGATAACCTCTTCAAGAACATCAGGAGCGATTTCAGAATTAATTTCCA